GCAGAAAGAGCCCTAGTTGATGAGTCCAGCTTCTCTTTTCCAGCTGTTGTTAACTCTTGGTGTGACCCAGACAGAGTCACTTCACCCACTGCTATAGTTTGGCTGTGTCCTCACCCAAATCTCACCTTGAATTGTAGCTCCCCTAATTCCTACATGTTGCGGGAGGGACCCGGTAGAGATAATTGAATCACGGAGGTCGTTCCCACATATTGTTCTCGTGGTAGCGAATAAGTCACATGAGATTTGATGGTTTTATAAGGGGAAATGCCTTTCACTTTGCTCTCATTTTCTCTCATCTGCTGCCATGTAAGACACGCCTTTTGCCTTCCGCCATGATTGTGAGGCCTCCCCAGCCACGTGGAACTGGGAGTTTATTAAACCCCTTTTTCTCTACAAATTACCCAGTCTCAGGTATGTCTTTATCAGCAGTGTGAAAACGGATTAATACACCCACTTTGGGTCCTGGTTTTTGTAGCAGACGTTATCAGTGCCCCATGAATATCCCCTGTGTTTCTCAACAGGCACTATTGACACCAGGGGCCAAATAATCCTTTGTTGTGGCCCTTTCTTGTAAACTGGAGGATATTTAGCAGCATCTGTGGCCTTCAGATGCCAGCCAGACCCCTGTCCATGCCATGTCCTCAACTTAGCTCCACGGCAAGGCTAAAACTACTTAAGTACAATTGAGTGCTATTGCCCTCTCAATGCATGGCCACAGCCAAGCTCAGCAAGGGTTTGTTCACTCACCAATTGCCTCAACAGGGAAAGCAAAGCAACAGGGGCAAGGAGTATCTGACCCAGTGACCCAGGGGAGCACCCAGTGGGTATAGCAAAGTGGAGAATGGAAACCAACACTGACTGAGCATTAAACTTACATTAGGCACATAACAATATATCATCCAACTTCATCCTCAGGATAATTTTTTGGGACCTCTGTTTATAATCTCATCTGACAAATAGGCAGTAGCGACTCAGAGATATTAAGCAACTTATACAAGGTCACACAGATAGTAAGGCACTGAGCTGGGATTTGAACATTCATCTGTCTGGCTTCAAGCTTCATGTTTGTTCAACTATGCCATCAATCAGTCTCAGAAAATCTGTACTTGTGGTTGTGTGATATAAGTCAACGTGAGGTTAAGATTTATCAAGCTAAAGATAATTTCAAAGTCATCTAGTCCAGCTACTCATTTTTACTGCTAGTAAACTGAAGCCCACAGCAGAAAAATGACTTGCCCAAGGTTGTGGCGGAGCCAAGACCAGCCCTTGGCTCTGGGTGACATCAAGGCCCAACCCCTTTCCTCTGTACCATACTCCAGGGAGAAGAAAGGTCGTGGACTTGGGAAATCAGGGAAGCTCATCCAGAAGGGAAGAACTCTGGACTAGTTAGGGAAGGGAAGGGAAGTCTCCAGGATATAAACTTTGTTGGGGCACAGAGAACAATACCACAAAGCGTGACTTTTTGGCACACTGAGCACTTTGCAGTAAGAAAAATAGGAAGGCCTTAATAGCTGCCTAAGTTTCTAACCTTCTCTTGTTTCTCTTCCCACAACCCCAGTGCAGAGGGAGGCTGTTTCTGAAAATTTCTTATCTGACTAAGGAAACTTCTTTCCAGAAGAAATGCAATTGTCTTAAGATCCCCTCCCCAGGAATCTCATCAAATAACCAGGAAAGATTAACCACTGGAGGAGAAACTAAAAGTTATCACCAGGCCCAAACAGGCTTTTCATCTGTTCTTCTGAAGGCACCTCCAAAAGGCTACCTGGGAGTCTTTATCTGCATGATGAGACAATCTCTGCTCACAGTGAAGTCATGCCCCTCACTTTCCTGCCACCTCCCCCAGAGCTCAGATGAAGTGTGTCTCAGGCCATTGTCCTTTGGGCTCATCCATTTCCCCCTGAAAATCATTTACCATCCCTCACAATCACCTACATTCCCCCCATTTCTTTCTCCCCTATCAAGAGGGTGTTGAAGCCTCAACCATCTGGGTCTTCTTTGAATCTCACATTTTCAGGACTGCTATGTTCACATACATGTAAATAAATTGTTAAGCCTTTTTCTCCTATTTGTCTGCTGTCAGACAGTTCAGCAAAACATCAGAAAAGACAGAAAGAAGCTTTCCCTCTGCCCCATGACTTCATGCCAGGTAACAAATATATACTATCTCATTTAACCCTCTCACAGGCTCTTCAGATTGCCCCTATTGTAAAATTGTAAGAAAAGATATGAAGGTTTTTGAAATGAGAAAGAAGAAAAGAAAGAAAGAAAGAAAGAGACAGAGAGAGAGAGAAGAAAGAAAGAGAGGAAAGAAAGAAAGAAAGAAGGAAAGAAAGAAAGGAAGGAAGAAAGGAAGAAAAAAGAAAGAAAGAGGAAGGAAGAAAGGAAGAAAAAAGAAAGAAAGAAAGAAAGAAAGAAAGAAAGAAAGAAAGAAAGAAAGAGAAAGAAAGAGGAGAAAGAAAAAGAAAAGAAAGAGGGAGAAAAGAAAGATTACTGGACGTCCTGAATAGTAGACTTTTCTGGGTTATCTGTACCTTTTTGTCTTTGAGCCATTTTACAACTCTATACATTGTAGAAAACTAATGATAATAAAAATGTTCTTGTCCATAAAGAAGCAAATAAATGTTGTTTGTTGGAATGCAATTGATTATCGCCCTAAGGATACTGGCCAATTTTGCAACTATTTATGGATTCATTTCAAATTTCCTATATGTGTGTATGTGTGCTCTTTTGTATTCTCCTTTGGACTAGTTTTTAACACCTTACTGGTTCCTTCATTAATTAGTGAGTTAAATAAAATCTTTTTGACACTTATTCATCTTTATATTTGTATTAAAGTGACTTCTTTACCATATTAGTCTATTCTCATGCTGCTATAAAGGACTGGCTGAGACTGGGTAATTTATGAAGGAAAGAAGTTTGATTGACTCACAGTGCCACATGGCTGGGGAGGCCTCAGGAAACTTACAATCATGGTGGAAGGGGAAGCAAGCACGTCCTTCTTCACGTGGCAGCAGCAAGGAGAAGTGCTGAGCAAAAGGGAGAAAAGTTCCTTATAAAACCATCAGATCTCATGAGAACTAATTAATTATCATGAGAAGAGGATGGGAGAAACTGTCCCCATGATTCAATTATCTCCACATGGTCCCTCCCACAACATGTGGGGATTATGGGAACTACAGTCAAGATATTTGGGTGGGGACACAATTATCCTTTAACATAGATGCCAAAACTTAAAATTTAAACCAGGTGCAGTGGCTCATGCCTATACTCCCAGCTACTCAAGAAGCTGAGGCAAGAGGACTCCTTGAGCCCAGAAGTTTGAGGTCAACCTGGACAACATAGCAAGACTCCATTTAAAAGACAAACAAACAAGCAAACCTTAATGTTTAAGTACCTTGCCCAGAGTCATAGCTTGTAAAAGCTACAGACTAAGTCCCAACATCCTGTTCTTTCTGCTCTCTGCCCCCATACCCAGCTTTACAGCCTTCCTTCTTATAGCTTCTCATTCGCAAGGGTTATGACTGTGTGGTCATAACTCACTAATTAGTGAAGGAACCAGTAAGGTGTTAAAAGCTAATTCAAAGGAGAATTTAAAAGAGTTTTGGTTTCCTAAGTTTTCAACTGAGGACTCAAAACCTAACCCTGCTCAGCTCAGTTATTCATGTAGAGTCCTATATATGGACGTACTTTGAGAAGAGTGAAAGCCCCATGCATGACTAAGTGTATTGTGATAAAGGAGACTCACGGGGCTGTGGACTTGGAATTAGAAGATCTGAGGGCAAATTCTAGCCCCACCACTTAGCAGCCCTGTGACCTTCATGAAATCACTCAATCCTGTCTTGGACTCTCAGTTGCCTTTGCTGTCAAACGGGGACCCCATCTGACAGTTATGCTGCCAATATCCCAGAGATATTTTAAGGACGGAGCAAGATAATGGATGTGCAAGTGCATTATAGACTATAGAACGCAATAGTGAGGTTAAGCATTAGTGTGATTATTACTGTTGTTAATGTCCTCACTCCAACTACTGCAGAGGGGAGGGGTGAGGAAGTTTGAATGCAGGAGCTCCTGGCCCCTCTCCCTGTGGCCTACTTCTCTGGGGACAAACCAGGGCTGTTAAGAGCAGGGGCTCCCACCTTGGACTCCCTGCCCCTCACCCTCCTCTCCACAGCCCTCAGCCAAGCCAGCAGCAGTGGTCAAGTCCACCTTCATCTGGAGGTGCTTTCCCAGTGAAACCTGGGCCAGGGATACATTTTCCCAGGTCCCGCAGACACTGCTAAGCCAGTACAGATGTTCAATGAGAAGACCATTCACAAAACCCTTGCATCAGCTCATCCGTGCTTCCCAGTTACTCATAGCTGCATGATTTCTGAGCCCTGTCCACCTGGATATTTCCCTGAGATGACTTTTCCAGGTGTGAGCTCACTCAAGCCCAGCCAGCCGGGCAGGTGTGGAGTTCCTACCCAGTGCTGGTAAGAAGAGTGGGAGGAGGCCTGGCTTCCCACCCTCACCCTCCACCAGGAGAGAGCATCACAGAACTTCAGGTGCAAAGACAGGCAAAGGTGATCAAGGCCAAAGGACTCCAGCTCCAGCTGCTAGGTATCAAAATTACGTGCAAGAGCTTTCAAAAATTCAGATTAGGCCAGGCACGGTGACTCATGTCTGTAACCCAGCACTCTGAGAGGCCGAGGTGGACGGATCACTCGAGGTCAGGAGTTCATGACCAGCTAAACCCAGATGGTGAAACCCTGTCTCTACTAAAAATACAAAAATTAGTTAGGCATGGTGGCGCACACCTGTAATTCCAGCTACTCAGGAGGCTGAGGCAGGAGAATCGCTTGAACCCAGAGGTGGAGGTTGCAGTGAGCCGAAATTGCGCCACTGCACTCCAACCTGGGCGAAAGAGTAAGACTCTGTCTCAAAAACAAAAACAAAAACAAACAAACAAACAAACAAAAAACACAATCAGATTAGAGAGCCCACACCCTCTACGTCAGAACGTGAAATGGTGAGGCCAATAAGATTTATTTTTCAAATCTTCCCAAGGCTTCTAGTGCCCAGCAGACTAGTTTGCAAACCAGCCTTCTAAAGCAATCTTCTTTCTATTATTAAGAAGGAGCCCATGACACAGAGGTGTTAAGTTCAAGGTCTCTTGGGTCAGCTTTTGGATCCACTGTTGCAAAGGGACAGGTTCTTAGGGGGCTGGCATTTTCTCGGAGTGAAGCAGGAGCTGCTGCAGGGGCTGAGAAAGCAGGAAGGAGCTTTTTGCTGCATTCCAGAGCAAATCTGGCTGTGAACAAACGAGAAAGAGCTTTAGTGTAAGCCGGGCTGAATGGATAATTAAACAGATAGCAAAATGGAATGCAGTTGCACACACCTCCCGGGAGCTGGCTGGGGGGAGATAATATGCTTTCCTGTCGTCAGAAGGCACAGGAGGAAAAACAACTGGGCCTGGCCGTTGGCCATTTAACAATATTGCTTTTGTAAACAAGTTGAAAAATCCAATAACTGTAAAACTTATGGCATGTCCTTAAAAGCCTGTTGCTGTTTTCCCTATAAACGGAGGAGCGTTTCCGACTGAAGGTGTTCTAATTAAACAGTTCGCATCCCCAGGGGCTGCGAGGTCATCCTAGGGAAGGAGGGTCTGATCCCTCCTCGTGGCCTCAGGACCACAGGTGGGGGTGGCCAGCTCGGGTTGCAGCCAGGCAGCGTTTTGTTTGCTTTGTTAGTCACTGTGCTGGATTGTAGCTGAACAGCTCTCTTCCTTCCTGTTGTCTACAAGGACTCCAAAGAGCAATCCAGCACAAACTCAAAGAAACAAACTCTTACCATAGAAGCAGGGCAGTGAGTGCCCACCAAAGAGGCAGCCCTTCAGGCTGGGAAGAGAGAGAAGTCTGGATCCGTTCATCAGGAAACACTTTGGTGATGCAAGTAACAGAAAGGTAGAAAGTCTGGTTCTAGGCCTAGAGGAGCTCACAGTCCTGATGGGAAGAGAATGCACTCACACATGCACACTCACGCACACTCTCACACATACACCTTCACACATGCACTCACACACGCTCATACATGCAGACTCGAGCACATGTTCACATATGTTCTCACACACATGCACAGGCTCACATGCTCTCACACACACTCATGCACATGCTCGCATGTGGTCACACTCACACTTATGCACAGGTTCACGCACACTCTCCCACATGCACACTCATGCACACGCTCACACGATCACACTCATGCACATGCTTCAAACTCATGGCTGTGTTCACATGCTCACACACACATGCACACTCATGCAGACATTCACACATGCTTACACACATGCATATGCTCATACATGCTCACACACACAAACTCACACATTCGCACACACACAATGCTCACACACACATATGCTCACACATGTTCACACACAAACTCACACATGCACACTCATGCACACATTCACACATGCTCACACACATGTACTTACACTCATACACATGGTCACACACACATGCACACTCATGTACATGGTCACACACATGCTCACATACACACACACAGGGTCACACATGCTCCCACTCACACACACTCATGTTCACTCACACACTCATGCTCACTCTCACACACACACTCACACACTCATTCATACACACACACATCCTAAAAAGGGAATCAAGGGGAAGGAGCCCAGCACTGGTAAGTGGAACAGATAGGTGGTGGTGGGCAGGGGGCAGGGCTCTGGAGCTGGGGGGTCTTTGTAAAGGAATGACAGAAACTCAGGGCTGGGTGGGATTCCAAAGGCCACTTGGTGCCAAAGTCAGCTCTCACTTTCTTCCTCCCCTTTTCTTATCTACGTGGATCACGGCCACACTTCACAGGTAATGGGCACAGTCCTCTGCAAGACTGTCCTCACTCCAGACATCAGCTGCAAGCTCACAGGTTCCGCAGGCCACCCACGCTCTAACCAGTTGGCTACAAATTTAGGAGTTCCCATGATTACCCTCAGGTTTGATCATTAGCTAGAAAGACTCACAGGACTCAGAAAGGCACTATATTTAAGATTATAATTTTTTAAATTGTAGTAACATACACACAGCACAAAATTTACCATCTTAGCCATTTTTAGGTGTCCAGTTCAGCAGTGCCAAGCACACTTGCATTGTTGTGCAACCAATCTTCAGAAGGCTTGTCACCTTCCAAAACCGAAACTCTGTACCCATCAAACAACCATTCCTCCTCATCCCTCCTTCCAGCTCCTGGCAACCACCCTGGAACAAGCAGTTTCAGTGTCTATAAATTTGACCCTCTCGGTGCCTCGTATAAGTGGAATCCTACAGCATTTGTCTTTTTGGCCATTATAGTGTTATTATAGCAGAAGGTTACAAATCAGAGCCAACCAGAGAGAGAGACATGTACGCAAGGTATGGGTGGATTTCAAATGCAAAGCACCCACCACACACTGAGGGACACATCACCCTCTCAGCTTTGAATGTGACCAACTGAGAAGACTGCCGACCAGGGCAGCTCACCCAAGCTTCAGTGTCCAGAGTTTTTACTGGAGTTTCACATAGCCGTAATTGATGGAATCACTGCCCATATGATGGAATTCAATCTCCAGCACACCTCCCCTCCCCAGAGGTCAGGCTGATATGCTATGACTCAAAGCCCCAGCTCTCTAATGCCATGACTGCTTTTCCTGACATAGCCCATCCTTATCCTGAATTATCTCATTAGTGTAAATGATGGAGGGGTCCACCGTGAGTCATCTCATCAGCAGAAGCTACCAAGTGTGGTCTAAGAGGTTCACAGTGAATAGAAACAATAGGGCCCTATAACCCTCATGGGGGATCAGGGATGTTTTTCTAACAGCCCATCAGCCCTACTGCCTTGGTTGAAGGGTGACCCCCAAATATATTCCCACATCCAGGAATGTGTGAATGTGAGTTTATTTGGAATAAAAGGTCTTTTCAGATGTAATTGAGAATCATGCATGCACTCACACATGCTCATGCTCACACACATGCACAGGCTCACATGCTCACACACACACTTATGAACAGGCTCACCCACTCTCACACATGCTCATACTCGCACACGCACAGGCTCACATGCTCACACCATGGGAAGACAGAGACAGGAGTGATGCTGCCACAAGCCAAGATGCCCAGGGCCACCAGAAGCTGGGGGAGTGAAGGAAGGATTCTCCTCTAGAGCCTTCAGAGGGATCCCAGCCCTGCCGGCCTTGATTTGGGGCTTCCAGCCTCCAGAACCATGAGAGAATCCATTTCTGTGCTTTAAGCCACCCAGTTTGTGGCGATTTGTTACAGCAGCCACAGGAAATGAACACAGAGAGCCTAAATGATACCCCACACATGCCATGGCCTCCCCTCAAGACAGACCAAAAGAGGGACTAAAGGGACACTGAGGCAGGCACCCAGGCAGAAGGGACGTGAGAAGCTGGGGCAGATGGTGGCAACGCAGCCCACAGGCTTCTCCATCTTCTCCTTGGCAAGAGAAGCCCCCGGCCTCTGTTGCAGACTCTCCTCTGCACAGCCACCCACTGTGGGAAGGGCTCCGTTCTGATTAGTGAAAGCTATTCATGGTAAACCTGCCTCCTTTGCCAGTGATGAGTTAAGGGATGGGCATATGTCCTGGTCAGTGAAATGTGAGAGGAAAGATTTCCTGGCTTTTACAAAGGGGTGTTGGGGAGGAGACAGTTCCTTCTTCTCTCCTGTACCTGTCAGGGCGGATGGAGCCACAGCAGCCACCTTGTGACCATGAGGACAGAAAACTGGCTCACTGAGGAGGGCCGAGGGAAAAAACGGAAAGAACTTGACTCCCTGATGATGTTGTCTGGCCCCTGATTCACCAGTCCCGCCCCCCGGACTTCTTGTAGCGGAGATAATTAATTCCTTCTTTTGGGGCCTTTTGGGCCCTGGACTTCTTGTAATGGTGATAATTAATTCCTTCTTTGGGGGACTTTTGGGTGAGACTTTTCTGCTACTTGTGGCCAAAGCACCTTTACTCAATGGTTTTCAAACATTTTCAACCAAATCTCATTGTGCAAATATTTTACATTGGAATCCAGGTCCATACAGATAACTGAAACAAATAATTCACAAAACAGTATGTACAACACATTCGGATATTTTCTATCTATTTTTCTTTTCCTTTTTTTAATTACTGGTCACAACCTAGCATTTATTGATTGATTTCATGATCCACAAGTAGTCATGACACACAACTTGAAAAGCACAATCTGGGAAAAAAAACCAGAAATATTTGCCAGTGAGAGAGAGAAGTAAGTTGCCCCAGTGCAGGCAAAATCATACAGATCCTGCCCCAGACACTGAGATGGTGTTTTCAGGCACTGGTTGGGCACAAAGAAAGACAGAAGTGGAGAGGGACACAGGGGGTGAGTCAGAGAAACAGGGAGACGGAGATGGAGGAAGAGCCCTGCTTAGCCGGAGTTGCACACCCACAGATGCTGACACGGTCCCCTGAGAAGGGCAGAGTGGAAGGCAGGCAGAATCAAGTGGAAAACACAGAAGCCCGGGGTTGGGAAGGAAGAGACAACGAGATACAGGAAATTAAAAGCGAAATGCAGAGACAGAAGAGCAAGCAGGCTGGAAAGTGGAGATTCTAAGGCCAAGACCCAAAGGAGACACACCCCATTCTAAACCAGAGCATGAGGGGCCAGTGCATGGGCCAGAGTCTTAGTGACCAGAGTCCAGCTGCAGGACTGGGCTCAGCCACTGATGAGCCTGTGGCCTTGGTCAAGTCACTTCACCTTTCAGCCTCTGATTCCTTCTCTGGGAAACCCAGCTAGCAGTCCCTCCTTCGCACGAGTGTGGAGAAAGTCAGGCTGCAATGCGAGCCCCAGGACTTAACAGCCTGTAAAGGATGGATGGATGTCCGTCAGGAAGGGCAGTCCACACAGACCCCTGCCCTTGGCCGGACAGAGAGTCTTTCGCTGCCACCCACCCACGGCGTCCCCAGTGTCCCTCTCCCGACAGTCCCCTCCCCCACTTCTCTGCCCAAAGGAGGGAAACCCATTTCCCTGGGAACAGCTGTGTTTCCTCAACAAACAAATGTTCCCTTAAAACGTTTCTGAGGAAGAGCGGATGGTAATGAGCGAACATCTGGCCGAGCGGCACACTTTCGTTTTTGGCAGCTCCGGAGCCCGCCAAGTGACTATTCCCTAATGTTCACCACATCCCAGCCCCTGCTATTCCCAATCAGGCTTGTACCACTACGCCTCAATTAAGAGCAGATGTGGGGCTGAGCGAACGAGGAGGAAAA